ATTTCAGCCAAGTTGAAAGCTTAATTCGTTGGAGGTGATCAAATTTATGAGTGTCAAATTCTTAGGCGAAGTGTTTGAGTTGCATCGACAGTCTCATCAGACATGTTTGCATATAGGAGTCTGAATGTTTAGGTCAACATAATTGATATAATTTTCTTCAGTCATGAAACAAATTAATAGTGTGTAACATCTTAATAAGGACAATCCGGATTTGCAAATACCATGGAAAGTTTTACTTATCTCAGGCTTTGCCCCCGGCATTAAGATCGGATTACATTCCAATTATGATTTCTTGAGGAAATTAAAATACGTTTCCCACAGACGGCGCCAACTGTTAATGCAAAAATCTGCACGCTTCGGAGTCGGTAACGATTGTTGTAAGACAAGATAAAAGTGATGACCGGTGTGGTGCCGGCCGGGTGCACTCCGACGGTCAAATTAGTACTTGACGATTGAATATCTGAGACCCAAAATAATTTCCTCTGGGATGGGATTTATGGCGTACCTTTTTCTGTTGACTGGTCTCACTTTTATAGAAAGTTGAAGTTGTCGTTTCCGCATTTCCTTCCGGGAGAGAAGGGATTAATTAATCATATCTTTAGTGCAACCTTTGAATTAATCAAATCTTATCCTTTAATTACCTTATGAGATGGTCACGTTATCTCTCTAAGTTTATCCATACCCTTTGAGTCTCCATGTCACTTGGAATTCTTTTCTAGTCGAATATTCCATATCATATATTATATTCGTTTTCCCTCCTTTCCTCCTTGATTTATTCATTTTGTCTGCAACTTTATTCCTTATATATTGTGTATCAATACAATGTCAACATATCAAGTACTATAAGCAATAAGAGAAATGTAGCTTTAGTGGCTATTGATCCATGGATGTAGGTCTTAGTGCCGAACCATGTATATGATGTGTTCTCTATCTTTCTCTCTTCCATCTTCCTATTTTACATTTTATATTTCCGCATCATAAATTTAACATGGTATCAAAGCAACGATCCTAGATCATTTGCACCAAAATTTGTGTTGTCTTCTCTGTGGCTCCATTTGGAGCTCTGCCTTTTTTTTTTTTTTTTTTCCTATACTGATTACAGAGAGCAGTGAAAGATAAGACCAGTAAAATCTGATCCGTTTCTGGTTCAGGTCTCTCTTTGTTTTCCCTTTTCGATTAACTACGTGCTTCCAAGTGATGTCCCGCACCGTCACACGCTGACGCTCCTACGAAGTAGATTTGACTCGCGCTTCACGCGCCTACGTGACGCACACTCTTGCGAGTAGATCTCACTCGTGCTATACACGTCCACACGCTCCTTTGTTCTGCTTCTGCAGTCGCCAGAGAGTCGACTATTCCTCGACTTTGTTCCAGCCATTTCCCTGGTGTTGTTCTGACATTACCCGGCATTGTTCCGGCCTTTCGGATGCTTTTCGCTCCACCACCATTTTCAACTATTTCCCCGCGTTGTTCTGGCCTTTTCCCTGGTATTGTTCCGGCATTTCGGATGTTTTTCGTTCCACCACTATTTTTAAGATTTCATTTCCAAACTCAAGTTGGCTTCAAGAACCCTATCTTGAGTTTCCGGAAAAATATTGAAATATATATTATATATACGAACAATTATATTATATATATATATAATTTTCGTTTTCCCTTTTTTCCTCCTTGATTTAATCATTTTGTCTGCAACTTCATTCCCTATATATTGTGTATCAATACAATGAAACATATCAAGTACTATAAGCAATAAGAGAAATGTAACTTCAGTGGCTCTTGATTCATGGATGTATGTCTTAGTGCCGAACCATGTATATGTTGTGTTCTCTATCATTCTCTCTTTCATCTTCCTATTTTATATTTTATATTTTCGCATCATAAATTTAACAGTTACCATATAATTATACAACTCAAAAAGCATCTTATACCACCTCTCTACTTATCAATCCATTTAGAAATTCTGACTAGACTCATAAAAGATCGATTGTCAATATTCGAATACTCAACCTTCTCTGTGAAGATAAAAAAAAATCATAGCATCTGAGTTAAGCCTTTGATAACAAGTTATTCGATTAATAGTAATTAATAAACTATTTAATTGCAATGAAACTGAAATGTCACATCTACTTGAAAACAGAAATAAATCCCAAATCTTAAAACTCCTTTAAATGATGCCTGCATTGAATGATTTTCTTATCTCTTGATCGATGTTTGCATCTTCTTAAATGAGAACCTAAAAGAGGGAAATTTAATTTTCTACATCTAAATAGATTAAAGCTATATATAGATTTAAGATGTTATCTAAGACATATGTTATCAGGGGCGGAGCCACCTGTGGGTTAACCTGGGCTACAGCCCAGGTCCCAAAAAAAAATTACTAGTACTATTACCTATCAGCTATAGCCCAGTCCAACTTTCCCAATCCATGGCCCAGCCCACTAGGCACTAGCCCTTATCGACCTAACTATTCAAGTATTCAGCTCATACTTCTGCCATACACGAATGAATTCATTGATACAAATCATACAACTAGGCAAGGGTTTGAATATAGAATATTGAAACACTAAATGATTAAATCCCATGAATCACCCACTTGAGCTTTGGAATTGGACCAGAAGATTGAAGACTTGAAGACTCAGATTAGAATGGAAAAATCGAAAATCATCTTGTAAGTTGTGAGTGCTCAAATTTAGATTATATATATGAATTTGTATATGAAATTGACAAATTGTGCATATTAAATCTATCTTTCAAATATAAAAATAGATATATATTAATATATATATATATATATATATATATATATATATATATATATATTTGCATACTTTAATCTAGGGTTTCAGTTACTTTAAATTTGGGATTTTTTTTTTTATTTTTTTGGGAGAATTGAAACTTAGGTTTTTATTAGTTTATACATGAGCCCTGTTTGGTGCACCCGAACACATATCTACTTTGTCTATTGGCTATAGCATGATCTTATGTTCCAATTTCAAAGCCCTGTTTGGTGCACCCGAACACATAGATGATTATAGAAGATCACAAAGCCATAAGGTGAATGTTTATTGATGGTGGAATTAAACAGAAACACAACCCAACAATGAAAAACAGTGAGTTATGGACTTATGTGAATTAGAGACAAATTGTGAGAAAATAATATAAAAGTATGATAGATTTGCATACATTTGTTTGTTTTGTATGTGTGTGAGTTAGAGTGAGTTGAAATAAATTTCAATAAAAAATTTTCATTTCTTTGACAATACACAGACCTCAATAAATTTTTTTTTTTTTTTCCTGCTCCAGCTCTATAGGTGATAGGCCATTAGGCGTGCCCTTTATTTTTGTTTGTTGAAGCACTACACGGTAGGAATTTTCCACCTTCAAGATGAAAAATTTGTTTTCGTTTTATAAACGGAAAGATGATAAATCAAAAATTGGGACAGCTTCTACGAGTACGAGTACCCGTCCTGAGACTACAAACTCTAATAAGCAGCAACAAGAGCCTCCTTCAAAAATTCCAAGAGTTGAGCAAACAAAGATTGATGATATGTTTTTTATACGAGATCCTAATTTGCGTCTTCAAATATGGAAACACCCCGTTAATGAACGTGATGAGCTTCGACGAAATTATATCTTAAGGGGACCTTATAAACCAAAACTCCTTGTGTTTCCTTCCACTCAAGATATAACTCAATCTCGTCGATTTCAAAGTAGTTGGTATAAAAAATTCACTTGGATTAAGTATTCTCCTAAAAAAATTAAAGTATATTGTTTGCCATGTTTTCTCTTTGAAAGTAATCCACCATCCCGTCCTGCTTTTACTGTCGAGGGGTTTAATAGTTGGAAAAAGGGTTAATGATGGATTTAGGTGTGCTCTTTTGCAACATATGGGAGGTACTAATTCATTTCACTTGTGTGCCGTAAGAGCTTCAGATGCTTTAATGAATCCTTTACAACATATTGATAGAATGTTGAATGTATCATCTAGAGATGTGGTAGAAAAAAATCGATTTCGCCTCAAGACAACAATTAAAAGTGTTAGGTGGCTTACATTCCAAACATGTGCATTTAGAGGTCATGATGAATCCGTTGAATCTTTGAATCGTGGCCACTTTATTGAATTCATAAAGCATTCAGCAAAGTTAAATGACAAAGTTACTGAAGTTGTCTGAGAGAATGCACCAAAAAATGCAAATTACCTCTCGCCAATGGTTCAAAAAGAGGTTTTACATATTCTTGTCAATAGGGTGAGACGTAAGATTCGTGAAGAAGTTGGGGATGCAAAATTTTGTATTTTGGTTGATGAAGCACAAGGTTTGTCTAATACAGAATAAATGGCCATTGTATTGAGATTTGTTGATAAGAATGGTTTGCTTAGAGAACGATTTTTTGGAGTTGTAGGCGTTAAAGACACCACTGCTTTAACTCTTAAAAAAGAAATATCAGATGTCCTTGCTCTATATGGTCTCCAAATTGATAACATGCGAGGCCAATGGTATGATGGAGCGAGCAATATGCGTGGGGCATGGAATGGATTACAAGCGTTATTTCTTAAAGAATGTCCATATGCATATTATGTACACTGTTTTGCTCACCAACTACAACTAGCATTAGTTGCTGCATCCAAAGATGTGCAAGATATATGGCTATTATTTTCTAAGTTGAATTCTATTGTCAATCTTGTCAATGCTTCTCTTAAGCGTCATAGCGAGTTACAATCAACTCAAGTGATTTTATCCGCTAATAAGTTGGCTACTGGTGAACTTCAGAGTGGTAAAGGAGCTAATCAGATTAAGACTTTGCAACGAGCAGGTGCCACTCGATAGAGCTCTCATTTTGGTTATGTTAGTAGCTTGATAGACTTATTTGGTCTATCTCGTATAATTATTGAGAATCTTTCAAAGAATGGACCAACTAATTCTATACGTGGGGAAGCAAAAGGTGTTTATCTTGCAATGCTATCATTTGAATTTGTATTTATCTTGCATTTGTTACGTGAGATGATGGGAATTACTGATATACTTTGTCAAGCATTGCAACGAAAAACTCAAGACATTGTAAACGCTATGAACCTTGTTTCAAGTACAAATGCACTCCTTCAAAATTTGAGAGAAAATGGGTGGCATACTTTCTTTCAAAATGTGGAATCATTTTGTAAAGAGCATGACATTGTAGTACCTGATATGAGTGCTTCTTATAAGGTGGGTACATGTCGTTTTTGTCAACAAAACGATAGTATTACATTTAATCATTACTATCAAGTTGATATTTTCAATGCTGCTAGATTTTCAATTAATGGAGTTAAATCAGAGATTCTCTGAAAGAACAGTGGAACTCCTTATTCTTGGCACAGCTTTGGATCCTAAAGATGCTTCTAATCATTTAAAGTTGATGATATTTGCGATCTTGCAGGGAAATTTTATCCTAAGGATTTTCAAGATGAGATGCGTGCTTTTAGAAGCCAGTTGGAGCATTATAAGATTGATGTACTCCATCATCCGAGTTTTCAGAATTTGTCCACCATTTTTTATTTATGCAAAATGCTAGCTGAAACAAGAAAGAGATAAACTTATTATCTGATTGATAGATTGATTCGTCTCATATTGACTCTTCCTGTTTCTACAGCAACAACAAGACGAGCTTTTTCGGCAATGAATCGTGTCAAAACTAAACTTCGCAACAAGATGGCTGATGAATTTCTTGTAGATTGCATGATTCTCAACATTGAAAGAGAACTTGCTGAAGATATTGATATAGATTTGGTAGTTAATGAATTTCACACTCTTAAAAATCAGAGGGTTCATCTTCAATAACTTAGGTTCATGTTCAGTAGGTTACTTAAGAGAATGCTATATATGTTTTTGTATCCATCCATGATGTACTTGATTTAATATATGAGAACATCATTGTTTTTTTTTTTTTTTGAATATATATAATATGTATTTGTCATAAGAATTATTGTGTTTATTTTTAATTTTTTTTTATCTTTAACCCTCTCCACTTCGGAATCCTAGCTCTGCTCCTGTATGTTATATACAAGAATGGATGTATTCTATCATTGGAAGTATATGACAAAGATTGAAACTGGAAACCAGAAAAACCACAAAAATGAAAAAAAATAAAAAATAAAATAAAATTGACTTACTCTAAAATCGTGACAATAATAATGCCTCCGCAGTCACACTCAGTGACTTATGGGCTCGAGGTGGCAAAATGCAGACATGCAGAATAATCTTTTAAAAAAGAAATTGGTTTACCCTAGTGAATAGTGCTCAATAAATTCATTTGACTTTTTCTACGTGACTCAGATTTGAACACTGTTATGACGCATTGAGTTTAAATTTGAGCGACTTTACTAAACACCAACCTTGGTCGGTCGTCCTGAAGCCTATTGGGCCAGGCCTGGCCTGATCATGGACCTTGAAATTTTTGGTGGACCCCAGGCACTTGTCACCCATGGTCCGTCCCAACTGGAATCTTGACAGGTTAGTACGTGGCTTAAATTCTTGTTTTTCACTACATGAACAATAGGAGGGGTTCACAAAAAATGTGTGAAAATGTATAACAAACAATATTTTATTAAACACCAACCTTGGTCGGTTGGCCAGAAGCATATTGGGCCAGGCCTGGCCTGATCATGGGCCTTGAATTTTTTGGTGAACCCCAGGCACTTGTCCACCCATGGCCCATCCCAACTGGAATCTTAATAGGTTCCTATGTGTCTCAGATTCCTGTGTGAATGTATACCAACAATATTTTATTTTAGGAAAGTTGTAATCTCTCCTGCCAAAGAGAATGCCAAAGGTCGAGCTTGTTTGATATTGTATATGTGTGTACGTTTGCTTCAAACAAATTCGATTTCCACTTAAAATTTGCAACCTCAAATCTCATGGCATTTATCAAAGGATGGTTACAAATTCATGGTCAGAAATAATAATTCATCCTTTTTCCATCTTGTTTTGACCACATGTAGGTTGTATCATCTCTGATGATTCTCATCCATGCTTCACTCCAGAGTTCAATTTCTTATAGAATCGAGTAATGTTATAAAGAGATTTTTCTCGTAACAAGAATTATGAACTCTCTCCACATTTAATTACTGAATTGAGACAATTTTTTAAATCCGTAAAAAGTTACATGAATAATTTATGCATATTTCAGTCCAGAGAGCTCATGACGGCTCTCTTGAGAGCAACCCCAACCCAGGGCACCCTTTTCATTCTACACTTTATGTGAAGCGTACAATCACATTAGTAATTGTTTCTATACTTATTTTAGAGACTCCAAGTTCTTGTTGTGCACTCATTTTTTCATTATACAATATATTATATTATTATTTTTTAAAAAATAAAATAATTATTTTATTTTATTTTATTTTTTCTCCAACCTTTTTATTCTCAACAACTATAATACTAACGGTTATAATTGTTTGCTCAGATTAGATACAAGATTTTTTTAAAAATTAATATTAAAAAACAATAATATTACATATATATATATATATATATATATATATATATATATATATATATAAGTGCATTAGATAACTTCCTACAAATAAAATAAAACAATACAACTCAGGAAAAAAAATATATTAATACTTCCACATATGAAAAACAAAAAAAAAATAGTAAACACTACAATTAATTGCCCCTTTGTGCATAACGTGCCATAATTTCATTTTGTCAATCCTCAATTCATGTTTTCATCGCCGGTGTTGCAGCATCATTTGAATTTTTTTTCATCATTTGTCTTCCCATAGTTATATTTTTTTTAAAATAATTAATTAAATTCTTATGAAAATTAAATGACTCTTTTTGTTTATTTAGGAAAAATAACTCTTTTTTAATTAATTAAATTATGATTATATTTACATTAATTAATTAATACAGTAAACATACAATAATTATTTTACACATTATCACACAATGGCTCACTGCGCGAGGCGCTACTTCATTCCTCATATGTGGGCACAATGGCCCACTGCGCTAGGGGCTATTTCATTCCTCATATGTAAAGTGCGAAGTGTGTAATATGACATGGGGTCCACTTGTGTATAATGTGCATAATAAGAATATCTCCAATGCAAAATATTATATTTTCATGCCAAATTAATATTTTTAGAGGAGCTACCGTGTCAAAATATTATATTTTTGCAATTATACTCTATTGGAGCATTTCTTTCAAAATGATATTTTTTGACACAACAACTATTCTATGTTTTGAGAATCCATTGGAGTGTCTTATTTTTATTTTAGTAACTTTTGTCAATCTCAAGATATGAGAGGTCTTTTAAAAGAGGCCATTGAAATGCCTATTTTCATCCACATATTATATATTTTGAGTTTGAAAGGTCATTTAAGAGTTGCTATATTTGATAATACATTTGAGAATCTCAAAATATGAGAGGCTATTGAAATACCTTATTTTCATCCACCAGCTTTATATTTTGAGCTTGAGAACTCATTTGAGAGGCCATTGGAGATGTTCCAAGGGCTCTCATTCAACATAGTATCAGATATCGTAGACTATTGCCTTGCTCTGGGTTGCTCTAATAGCATTACTCTATAAAATTTAGGGGCACTGCTCATAAAAGGGTAGAAAGATAAAAACCAACACTACATTCCCAGACAAACATATACAGAGCACAAATAAGTTCCAAAATAAAAGTGTGCTAGCATTAGAAAACCAAGACAATGGCAAAGGGGGGTGAAATCTTTAAGGAGATGGAGGCCAACCATAACCATTATCCTCATCAAATCCTCCATAGATGCTCAGTTCCAAATCCTCATCATCCCACAAACCATCAAAGCTCTCGTACTCGTAGAATGAGTCCGAGTAATCAGAGCAATATTCCGAACTATTCCACTCGAAATGGACCCTAAAATGAGGCCCCAAAACTTTCAGTTTGGGGAACTTCTCCTTCAAGTCGTCGCCTAGCTCCACATTCCAACATCCTTTCAAATCCAAAACTTCAAGCTCGGGACAGCTGGAGATGATCTCAAGAACACTTCTGGTGTCGATACGAAGGTAAGCCATCTCAAGGTGCTTGAGCTTGGGCATTGTCGTGGCGATGGCATGAGCCTCGTCCTCCTGTGAGAGCTTCCCTTCCATATCGAATGGGTGCATGTTCCGACGCAGCCCTGCAAGCAATTTACAGTGCTTCCCAATTGCCTCCAAAGCACAAGCACCAATCTTAACACAGTAGCTCAAATCTAAGAAAGTGAGCTTAGAAAGCCTCCCAGCAAACTGTTCCACAATTGAATCACCTATATCGCTCCTAGGCAGTTCCAATGTCCTGAGGTCACCAGCACTAGCAAAACACAAAAAAAAAAAAAAAAAAAAAATTAACCAGATCAAATTAATATGGACTAAATAATAATCAACATAAATACCATTAAGATTGGAGGGAAGGGGGGTCAACTTGAGTTTCGTATGAACAAATGATTTGCAACGAAACAAGAAGAGCGTTAGAAGTGATTGCAAGTTAATGGAAAGGGCGTTAGGCCAGACATCATATAAACCAAAGTCCAAAGATGTGTCTAAGCATTCAGTATGAGCATCAAAATTGGACTAATGGATTCATCTGATTATTGTCTGAATCAGTGAATAGCTAAGCGTGCCAAATAAGCATCGGAATTGGATTGACAGGTTCTTTGATTGCTGTCTAAATTAGATGAAGTGCACATGCTTACGAAAAGCTCAAAATTTGGAGTAATGACTGATCTGAATTGAGCCTGAACTGGTGAGCTACGACTAGATCATTACGTTTGTACCAATAAAAGTAAGAAATGAAAGAGGCCATCTTTTGCTTACTGCTCTGCAATGAAGGAGAAAATGAGGTCGTTTTGCAGGTCAGAAACACACAGCTTCCGGAGTGAACCACAGCTTCTCACGATCAGCATTCGGAGCATTAGATCGATGTTTTTGGGCTCGGTTAGATTGCTCCATTCAGTAATGTCAATCTCTTGCCAACAATAAGGCCCCATAACTGCTTTGCCCCACAATTTGCATACTCCGGGGACTACTGTTAGTATCTCCTGGAGAGAGAGATTGCTGAAGACTATCCCCAACACATCAGGATTTAGTTCGTCCCAGCATCGAAAATCCGCCCCGTCTTCCATCTATGCTTTCCTTCATAAAGGAATTCAAAATGGAAAAAGAGTTCCACTGTGAGTCCCTTCCATCATATACCAAGAATAGATATCAAGAATCCACATACTAGAACCTGAAGTGAATAAGAATCATAGAACCCCCTTATTAACAAAGCCATTCTATATCCACATTTAAACAAGTACTAATCAATCAAGACACACATTCAACACATGATATTTGAGAACAAGTATTACACCTATTTATATCGTATTAGATATGCATCTCATAAACAATAACCTTGTAAGGTTCAAAAGACAAAGGATTGTATAAAGTTTTAGGGGCCCAATTGCCCAAAGAAAATAAGGACTTGTTTGGTTCAATTTTCCTAAAAACATTTCTCAAGAAAGTGATAAAATTGAAAACTGTTCCACATAACTACAAAAGACAGTTATTTGAAAGACAAACATTTTTTAAGAAAATAGAAACCTGTCCTCGGAAAACTGAACCAAACAAGCCCTAATATATTAGAAAAGGATGTTGGAAGATAGAAGAAATAAAGGGGGAAAAGGCTAGCTGAACCTCTACACCTTTCCGAAATCCCAAACTAACAAAAAAGTGCACATTTAAAAAAGTGCTAAACAACATGAAATTTGAGCATAAGAACTACACATTTTTATTATCATTACATCAAATATACATCCCATAAACAAGATCCTTGTAAGGTTCAAAAAGCCAAGGATTGAATAAAGTCTTGAGGACCCAATTGCCCAAAGAAACTAAGGACTTGTTTGGCTTAGTTTTCTAAAAACATTTCTCAAGAAACTCGTAAAATTGAAAACTGTTTCCAGATAAAACAAACATTTTTTTAGAAAATAGAAATCTGTCCTCAGAAAACAGAACCAAACAAGCCCTAATATAGAAAGAACGTTGAAAGATAGAAATAAAGGGAAAAAAACTGAACCTCTAAACCTTTCATCTCCAAAACCCCAAGATCATGACATTTACATAGAAATGAAGCTTGGAGGAACAAAATAAAAAAAAAAATTATATTCAATAATTGATCTAAAGGCTAAACCTCGGGGAAAAAACCTAATAAAAATGTATGCAAACACGAAACCTCAAGTTTCTATTAATAGAAAACATTAATCTTGTAAGCAAAACAGGGTCACAGTACAACATAGAAGAGAGAAAAATGAACCATCTTTATCAAATCAAACATACCCAAATGAGCAAAAGCCACGAAAAATCAAAAACCCATAACACAGAACAAAAGAACATAATCTAAGGTAACAATCAGATGAAAAAACCAAACCCCCATAACAAAAAAGTACAAGAACACCATCAAAGTCACTGTATATATATAACCATATGTATGCAAGGAAAATCTTTTCCTCTTGCTATTTAAATTGAAATGAAGTAGAATTTATTTAAGAAATAAGAACCTATGTGGTTCCCAGAATTTCCCCTTTTAAAAAAAAAAAAAAAAAGAAAAAAAAAAAGAAGAAAATAACAAAAATAAATTGATTAAATATGAATATTATTTTTAAGATTAAGGTTTCAACGGACAAGATGAGTTTATAACATAAATTTCATACCAAATCAACAAAAAGAAATTTATAGATCAGGCAAGGATATTGTTAAATCAGTTGAGCAAATTACTGAAACCAAAAGGTGCTCAAAAGAGACTGAATTTCTTTGGAGATGTAAAGTACTCCGATTTATCCGCCAGAAAGGTAGGGGGAGATCCACCTAAAACTGGTGTGTGTGTGTGTGTGAGAGAGAGAGAGAGAGAGAGTACTTACCAAATTACTAAGCTTAGTTACCAGTTCACAGAAGCCCAGCGACCACCAATAACAAGAACAGAAACAAGAGTAAAGACAAGTGTAAAAGGTCCAACACCTACACGAGGGTAAAGTGGGAAGAACCACAAAGTCATCAACAATTATGATGTCTATATATATATATATATATAGAGAAAGAGAGAGAGAGAGAGAGAGAGGTGGTAACTGTGGTATTGGTAAAGCAATAACTCTTTCCAAGTACAGGGTTCGAAGGAACAAGACTCAAGTGGGTGACTAAGAGGTGGTAATAGTACAAAGGTTTGAAAGTAGTATTCTCAGTCCTTAACTCCTCATGGCCCTTTTGAATGTCACATGAATTAAGATTTACAAGTAATTATTACACCGTTGCACGTTAATTATTTTGACTGAGATTTAAGGCGTTTTCCCAAAGATGCAAATTTGGCGTACATGCTCAAGCAAGGTGAATGCTCATTTCAACTAATAGGTTAAACATTTGGGTTCGGATATAAACCCAACAACTGGTATCAAAATCAAATCACAAAAAGTAGTATATGGGCACAAAATTCTCTGATTGACCAGAAGATTGGTGACGTTCTAGTTAGTAGGACTAGACGTATATAGGATAAGGGTTAATTCACCTAATACCTAATAGATTAACTTTTTTAGTTAGATGCACTCTTTTTGTCTAACAAAAAATGTCTGCCCTCTCATTTTTAACTATCTCAAAATAATTGTCTCATTTCAAAACTCATTGTACTATTTTTTTAATATTTCTAATTAATTTTTTTAGCTGTGCTAACGGTTTAATAATTACTTTTGCATTGGAGTTATAAAATATGTGGACTCATTGTAAAATTAAAATTCATTTCCAACCACTAAAATAATATATATATTAAAAAGTTAGGTTCTCATAAATGGACAATTTTGTAGAACAAGTGGAGTAAAGGTATTTGTGACTTTTTACGATCAAAGTTATTTTTCCGTCACCTACCAACGAATTTTATGAAAGATCAAAGTAATAAACGTTGAAAGATACACACTTGTATAAGGGTGAGATCAGATTAATTTATATTTTAAGTTGGTGGAACAAAAATAATTAGTCAAAATAAATAAAAGATAGAGTTAATTCTAAAGTGTTTAAATCATGGAACATGTAAGTGAATAAAAACATAGGATCTTTTATCATTTTCGTTATGAGGTGGTTTATTGAATGATTGACTGAAGTCAATGTAGAGTTTGTAGTTTGAACATTGAACCTCATGGTTCCAATGCTATCCTGATTCAGCTGATATGAACAAATTAGGGCACTTTTGAGACAGTGTTCGGGTACCATCATCCCACAGGCACATTGGTGAGTACAACACAGATTGGGCATCTGAAAAGAGAGTCTGTGGTCAAGAAACAAGTACGATCTGTTATTCTGGGCAGCTTGTCTAGGGTTATTTGTTGGGCTTGCATCCATGAATTTGTGGACCCACTAAGATTTGATGCCGATCTTCTTACTACCATCTAAATTATCTAATGTGTAGATATATGTACCTAGATTTATATTTATATATATATATATAGAGAGAGAGAGAGAGAAAGAGAGAGGGTTAGATATTCCATAAATTATTACATGGTTTCGGACAGTTGGTCTTGAGCAACCGATGTTTGACAAAACAAAATTTTTAGAAATATGAAAGTTTAATATATTTTTTTTCTTCAAATATCAAATGGTGATTCGCAGAGATACTTGTACCGGAACCATGCATGTAACTAACATGTGTGTGTTTGTCATTTACGATACAGTTTTGATAAGAAGTCGAATAGTCAGATGCATTTGACTACTTTTATGTGAGGAAAGAGTGATGTTATCAGAGATATTAATAACATCATGATGATATCAGTTCAATCGTATAAATTAGCTGGATTTATCTAACTTTCAACTAAAATCAATATCATTTACAATAAGAAAAAGACAAGAACACAAGTGCATTAGATTAAGAGGAAAGTATTTAGTATCTCTCTTTGTATTACTTCTTAAATATAGTTTGCACTTTGCAAAACAAATGGGTTTAATTATGTTTGTTAGAACTTAGAACACAGCTTGCATATTTTGTAGAAATACTATTTTTCTGCCGCTTGATTGTAATTGGGCCAGGCCCATTAACTAGCAGACCTAGGTTCATGTAATCTCTAGTTCGCTTCTTCAAAAATGAGATATATTTGGGCCCAGGTTCATCTACGGGTTCATTGTAGATAATCAGACGCCAACATTTTATTTTGGTCAGGTTAATGAATTTTTTTATTTTTTTATTTGTTGGTCCCATTTGAATTTTCAACTATTTTAATATGTAAATGCAGATACTAACGCATGAGGACTTGTAATTGGTTTGGATTCAGAAATTGGTTTTGGGCTTGGAACAAAACTAGTCCGATATTTATAGTGCAGCCCATTGGGTCAATAAACTCTCCGTTACAGAGCAGGTGAGGCCGGATTTGAGACCCACAGTTAACAAATATGTGTGTGAGTGAGTACTTACCGAATAAAAAAATAAAATAAATAACTAAATAAATAAAGGTTTCAGCACATATTGCTTTTTGTTATAAATTGAATTTACTAAATATCCACCAGTTTACCGATGTCATTTTATATATATATAAAAATTTACAATGTTATACACATTACATTAGACACTATTATCATATCTCGTTTGTTTCAACGTAAAATATTTTTTTTGAAAAATATTTTTCTTTTTCAGATAAAATATTTTTTTATTTTTATTTTGTCAATATTTAACAAAGGTCTATGTCGAGGTTGAGGTCGAGTCCATCGGGTGGGGCATGTAAAATAACTTACCAAAAATTTATGGATAAATTATTTTTGTTAAATTTTAATATTTTTTTTCTTCGTAAATATTTTACGACAACCAAACACCAGAAAATAAAAAAAATATTTTTTGAAAAATATTTTACGTCCAAACAAACGGAGCCTAAACTTCATTTTATTTTATTTTATAATAATAAAATAACAATCATTTTTACAAGATTTGACACATTTTACAAATTCCTAGTCAAATATTTTTGGTTGAGATCCTAGTACCAAACGAGTAATATTTTTTCATGGCCATCGCACCAGGCAACGGACACATTAAATTGTTCATTATCGGCATGTGTAATATACATGCAGACATACATATTAAGCGAACGGTTTAGATGCCTATAAAAAAGTTTTTCTCATACCAAACATGCAAGCTATCAATTTTTACCCATAATTATGTATGGCAATTTGTGTTTGTTGATTGTGTTCATGTTTATTGTTTGTGTTCGTGTCACGTCAGGATATATATATATATATATATATATATATATATAGTTTTTCTCATACCAAACATGCAAGCTATCAATTTTTACCCATAATTATGTATGGCAATTTGTGTTTGTTGATTGTGTTCATGTTTATTGTTTGTGTTCGTGTCACGTCAGGATATATATATATATATATTTTATGGGTAGACATGAACACGACGTATTCTATTTTATGGGTAGACATGAACATAACATAATTATTAATGATGTATTTCAAAAATACAATACGATTATTAAACGAGTAGAAGGACACGACATGAGAAGCGTAACTCGGTTTATAAATAAGTTAAGAATTAACACGACATGAAATAACAACACACGTTTAAGTTATTTTTTATACAAACACTACTCATTTATCTAACAAATTTAGCAAAATAGGTCATTTATAATACAAATGGGATACATTTATTTAAGCAAATTAATCATATTATAAATGAATTGATGATTAGGATACGTGATATGATTATGAAATAATATGGTAATGCCATATTCAGATCCATTTATCTTGTATGGCGATCAAATCATATCAGAGTATTGTTGTGTTAAGTATTCACATTGAACAAATTGTAGCTATATTATTTATGAAATGTTTCAGTTTTTGGTAATTAATATATGGGTTGTTGCTATATCTTGACAAATTCATCTTCCAATTATTTGGGTCCATTGTTTAAATATGTTCCTTTATATCTAAAGTTAAAATATCAATTAAAATTATGCTATCATACTTTTGATTATAATCTCAACCAGTGGTGGGCCCAAGATTTTATTTAAGAGGGACAAATACTAATAATAATATAATAAAAAAATTTAATTAAAATAATAAATAGCAAACAAAGTATCTTTTCTGAATTTTGATTCTTATAGTTGTTCCTGTACTTAATTGTGTCATCAATATTACTAGTGGGTCATTATTAATTAGAGGATTTTTTTTTTTTAACCAATTAGAGGATGTTCTCATCCTGCACTCTATGTATAAACAATTATTGTTAGTTAATTTTAATTGCATTCTTTTGATAACAATTTATTTATTTATTAGTGGGTCTCTTTATTAATTTGTTAATTTTCTAATCCTGATATTATATATTAACAAATATTGTAAGTCAATATAAACAAATATTGTCAGTCAATTTTAATTGCATTCTTTTAATCAATAATCTATTTTATTTGTAATTCTAGAGTATTCGTAGATATACGAAAACTGTGTGAAGAGTTAGATTTTAGAATGGTCCACATTTCTGATTCTAGAGTATTCGTAGATAACACGAAGACTGCTCAGCATATGTGAAGTATTAGATTTGTAATTTTTTTAAGTAAAATAGTGAACAATAGAGAGTTTTGCAGCACCTCAAAATATTTAGGATATTTTAATAAATGGTTCTAGAGAGAGTAATATTACTATGTTTATATAAAGGGTACAAAGTGTAGAGGAAATTTGACTCTTATATTGGGCAATATTCTATTCGACCACATGTTCGTATTATGTTAATAATTACGATAATAATTTTTTACAAAATAAATATAGCATGACTATAGACATAAGCAGAAGAATTCAGAGAAATCCTGGAATTAATAAAAATGGGCAATCCTGAGCCAAATCCTATTTTCCGAAAATAACAGAAGGTTCGGAAAGCAAAAATCAAAAAAGGGATAACACGAAAACAAACAAAAGCGAAAATCAAAAAAGGGATAACACGAAAACAAAAGAAGGTTCGGAAAGCGAAAATCAAAAAAGGGATAACACTTTTTGTCATGTGAATCTCAAAATATACTAATTATGATGCTACTTTTTAGCTTTTTATGTATGGTACATTATTCATATTACTTTCTATCTTTACTGATTTTCTTTCAATTCAACTTGGTTTTCTTAATGGTTTAAGAAAAATGATTTGGGTATTTAAATCGGCTAACACAAAGGTACGATAAAAAATAAAATAAAAAAAAATCATCCACTGTTGCAATTTTAAAGATAAAAAGAGAGAGAAATATAAGTACCTTATACACATTTTTTATTTTTTTCTTGTGTTTTTGTCTGTGATTTTTTAATTTATTTTTTTCTTTCCCTTCTGAAAATAATTCACACAAGAAAAAAGAGGAGAAGAGAATCAAAATGGCATAATATACCTTTTTATTTTATTTTATTTCTCAACTGTTTTTGTTGTCATGTTTGAAAGTGTTGTGCTCTTTTATCTTCGTGTGATGTTTTTTGAAAGCAAGTTGGAACAATTTCGAATCCGTCTAACAATTAAAGAAACAGGTTTCCGCACAACAAATTCGTGCCCCATTGGATGTATTCAATTGAAACTAAGGATTATTTTTGTATAATAAGAAAATTAGAAGAAAATTAGAAGAAAATTTTCTTAATCACTCCATCTCATAAAATAGATTAACCCACTTTTCTGAAGCAGATGGCTGTGGATATATTAAAAATCATTGCAATGCTAGATATTAGAAATACATCTTCTGTATAATAATTCAGAAAATAATTGATTAGTTAAAAATATTTCATGTGTATTTCCCCTATAATTCGGGAAGAATAAATAAGAAATTATATGTCAACAAAAAATTCTATATAATTGAAACTATTTTTTTTCTTCAAAATCTGTAAACAAAATAATGAATTGCTCTACCCAACTACTGCTAGAGAATTTTATTTTTTATTTTTTATTTTACAGATATGTGCATAGGAGATAAGATATTCAATTGATGCATGGATGGTTTGATTGTGGTTTCCAAATGAATGCCATCAAAGCACAAATAATGAATGCCATCAAAGCAAAAATTTCAAATATTAGTCCTCAAATTTTAAAAGGGAAGTAAATATAATGGTTCTCAAATTAGTCAAATTTGTGGTAATGAAAATGGATGACAATTAAAACAAACTAAAAAAAATTCCGTTCAAGGTTAAAACGTTGGCTTTTCTTGACATTAGTCCTCAACTTTCTTGACAAGCTTGCTTGAAATGTGAACATGCGCGGATTTATACGTACGTGTGTGTGTGTGTATATATATAGAGGGAGGGGGACAGAGAGTAATCTATTGCAAACTAGTAAGTTTCATCACATTCTTCAGTTTTGAAATGTTATACATCTCTCTAATTAATCAATTATTATACAGAAGGATGTATTTCTAATATCCAGCAATGAGGTGCTTTTCAATTCATCCGCGACCATCTTCTTCAAACAAGTGGGTTCATCTATTTTATGAGATCAAGTGATTAAGAAAATTATCTTCTAAATTTGCAGTATACAAAAAGAATCTCCGGTTCTCTCTTTTTAATTGAATGAAAATCTCGTGACTTTCGCTACGAGGGTCTTTCATACTCTCAAAACAGATCCAGGAAGAATTGAAGATGAGTTCTCACAGACAAGGAAAAGACCTGGTAGGAAACCCCGAGGCGAAGCTGGACCTTCACATCGCTAATCTTAGGAGAAATGCCTGAGCATGCCGTCGGTCATCTAGTTCAGATCCTCTTGTTGACCGAAGGGATAATGCAGTTCTTCCTGGTAAGAATCAAAGCCAAACTAATACTTTATGGCCTTGTAGAGGAGCTCTCTCATGTATGTTTCCGGCATTGAACACTTGCCCTTGAGGCGGCACTGCAAACTGCCCTCCTTGCTGAAGAAATGCGTCCTGGCACAACAAATTCATGCCGGTAGGCTCCAGTTGCATGGGCTGAGGTAACACGAGCTGTGTGTCTGGCCTCATCCTCACATATACAACTGGTCGAAAGGGTTTGCATACTAGGCTGAGGGTGCATGCTAGGAACCATTCGAGCTGTTGTCCTTGAACAAATGCATCCTGGCCCAACATATTCACCGCATTGGGCTGTGGCTGCATGTTACCAGCGAACGCAAGCTGCTGCTACAGAAAAGCAGTGTCGCCCAGTGGATTCAACCCAGTAGACAGCTGTCCCGTGAATGACGCTGATGGCAGCTGAGATTCGTGGCCCATTGGATTCACCTGATCAGCCTGTATGTAGGGAACTGATAGGAGCTGTCGTGGTTGTACATGCGGATAATTAGAGATAGGATGCAGACCCCATGGTGTCGGTAGATTCCATTCCACGGTCTGACTCACCTGAGCATTAGTTCGCACCAATCCACCCAGGGAATGACAGTCCAAGGCGTGTGAAAGGGTGTTGATCTGACTCAAACTCGATGGCAAGATCACTGTTGAAGGATGTACAACTGATCTTGGACGTTGGTTGCCTCTAGACATGAATTCGATCAGTCTTGATTGTGATCTGGATACCAACTGAACCGGCCGGATCTGATCACCCAACTGGCTGGAAACCACCATTGTAGGGGCTGTCATGTACTTCCCACAGGGCTCTGGGATCCTAGCAGTAATATCTTCTCCAGCAGCTTGCAACAGGAGACTCATGTAATCATCTGGCTGAACCATTGGCCTCGAAAACTCACCAGTGTTCCTTGTGCTAAATGGGTCAGATGTGATACCTCTACACAAATCCACTCTGTTACTTGCAACATTCACGTTTCTTCCACAAGTGCCACCATGGATGTCCATGCTACCACCAGTGACGACATTTTTTCCTTTGGAGGTAGCACCATGAGTAGCCATTCTGCCTCTGGTAAGAGCTATCCATTCTCTGCAAGTGCCACCATGGATTTCCATGCCCTCACCAGTTTGAACACTTTTTCCCTTTGAAGCAGCGTCAATGTTCACTCTGTCACTTGCATAAGCTTTCATTCCTCCACTAAAGTGACCGAGGATATCCATGCCCTCACCAGTAAAAACGTTTTTACCTTTTGAGGCAGCATGATGTATATCTGTTTGTCCCTGTTGGGCAGCTGGAAAAGAAATCAGATGACCTGTGTACTCGACTGAATTGTTAGATTTCTGGGACTGATATATTGGAGCCTCTGTCAGAGATCCTATCTTCTTTTGTGCTACCATTTGAGCTGTTGAACCCAAATGTTTAACAAACTGGAGCAAACTCTGTTTGTAACCCAAACCTCCATTACCCTACAACATCATGAAAATGAATAGTAATCAGCATAAAGAGAAGGCTGTGGCTTAAATGATCCTAGCTTCTACAATTTTCTTGTCTTGATATTTGTCATGCATGAACTTCCATTTATAGAAACACTGCGTATTTTAAGAAGGTCTACTTTTTCATATAGTTTGGTTTATCCAAAAATCATGCTCTTGGAGTAACAGATGCTTAAATCTGCAAAACTTAAGAAAGACACCACTTACGATATCTATTGACTAAGCTATTTTACCGGAACATGATTATTGTTTCTTCCTTCTATATCATTGGAGATCATAAAGAGAAGATACAAATACGGGGGTCCTTTTACCTTAGTTCGAGCTTTGTATTATCTGGACAAGATGGCATGTCCCTATTCATATGATCACCAATTCCTTGTGAGAGAGTCCGCTTATGCCAACTTGGCATGTATAACATCTTAAAGGAAAAGGTCAAGAAACCAATATGAATCCAAAGATGCATCTAACTATGCAGATGGATGTTTCATCAAGGTCACTTGATGAAATCTCACCAGATTTAGTATGAGAGAAATTTAATGAGATTCTTTTAATTCGATAACACCTTAGTGGAATCCAGCTCTAACTAGTCTAGAACCACCATGATGAGGTCAGACAGGAGAGACAAATATTGGCACGAATGAACAACAAAGAGTAGGGCCACATATTAGCTTTCATACCACTATATTTGTCTGAATTTAAGAAGGTTGACTTTTCTAATAAGTGATTACACTTATAATCTAAGAAAAACTTTTAAATGTGCATTACCTTACCAGGGGAGGAGGAACTAAATTACTGCAAGCCAACCAAGAAGAACTAACGAAATCCCAACAAAATTCTACCACTTAATCTAGAGTGGGAGTGTAAAACCCTTGCAACAAAAGCAGCTTGAAGCTACCACAAAGATAAAATCTTAAATGGAAGCAAAGAAACAGATGGACAAAATAAAGTTGCTTGCTCTTATTGGGTTCGAGTATATGGCACTTACAGGGATAAGTTGTTTCGAACAATTATAAACTGTGGAAACAATGGGCTCGTTCTCGGTGGCTAAAGAAGACCGAGGCTTATAAGTTTGATGCCGGCAGAATTTCACATTTCTACCATCTCCAGACCCTGTTTAGAGAAAGTAAAACAATAAAAATTAGCCAGTCTTCAAAAGAGTTTAATTTACATAATGCAGCAAACATCCCAGTCTTCCCAGATGAAATGGAAAAGGTTTAGATGAGAAGAAAAAGGGGTTGATAATTACCTATATGCAACCATTTTTTTTTTTGATAAGTAATTACCTATATGCAACCATATTACAAACTCATGCTTTATAAAAAACAATAACACAATTGGTTCCAGAACACAACAAAATAATAATAAATAAATAAAAAGAAAAGAAAAAAGAAAAAAGAAAATAAAAAAATAAAAAGAAAAAGAAAAAGAAAAAAAAAAGACCTTAAACAATTGTAGTCCCATAGAATGACCATAACAGTAAACACCCACAATATTTCTGCATAAAATCGAATATGCCACTGCTTTAGTCAAATATTTGAATCAAAGAATTTCTTTTTTCTTTTTTCTTTTTTTAAGGAAAAAAAAAAAAAAAGGGAAAAGAAAAAAAGGATGAAAATATATCATATTCCAGAATGCACCCTGGGTGTGCTGTTTCTGGTAGTATATAAGAGCTTTTACCATAATTGCTTTAAAAAAGAAATCAATCACTTCAGCACATAACACAGCACCACCTAGAAACCAACACCTCTTCATTATCACTTCAATCACCATCATATCCACCATTTGTCCACTAATTGCGTTTACACTAGCAGCATCACCATTACTACCACTGACTTCTAAAATAGACATTATACAAAATAAATGCAAGTTGCTCAAAACACCAAACACCTGCCATCTCCACCACTGTTGGTACTAGCTGTTACCATCACCACCAGCGCCAACACCATACTGCCATTACAACTTCATTGCCACCACTGTTATCACCAACACCATTGCTGGTAGCCACTAACAGGATAACCAAATTTGCCACTATGGTTATATAATGTGTTCATTTGCTGCTTTCAATTGAGTATCACTTTTACATAGCAAAAGGCAAAAGAGCAAACAAAATACTTGTTTCTCAAAGATACTTTGTATAATCATAGCAATATCCTCTCTCCACCATTTGAATACATCCAATAAGGATAGAGGCATCACCGTGCAACACCAACATGAACACATAAAGCAGCGATCACAACTCACCAGCCAAGTTACAGTATAACAGAAGATGATTCATCAACAAATCTTCACCCTAACACATTCAACACTTGTCAAGAAAAACACTTTATTTTAGTATATGTTGACGGATTTATATATTTAAGTTACACCCTCTCTAACAGCTTAAGCTTTTGGAGTAAATGGTTGTTAACATGGTATCAGAGCCAAAGGTCTCGAGTTCAAACCTCACTGTCACCCTAATTAAAAAATTGAAAAACACGTGTTGGACCAAAAGAATGCCACACGTGAGGGGGCGTGTTGAAGGATTTATATATTTAAGTTACACCCTCTCTCACAGCTTAAGCTTTTGGAGTAGATGGTTGTTAATAGTATCCATTAGAGCATTCTAATGAATGATGAGATCCATAAAGGCCAAAGGAGCTCCCAAAAGTTCCATATGTTTGAAATAATTCGTTGAGACAAAAGAAATAAAAATTGCAAGCTCAGGTTTTTGAAAAAAAAAAACAACTTAGAATCCCCTGTTTATGATAAGGTAGGTCAATTTTTTTCAATATATCTTCACAACTTCACCAATACGTTAGAGTGGTAAGCTACATATATCTTCACCCTGTCCCATCTTACATGTCCAACTATATATATATAGCGCATTTGCCAGAGGAGATGAACTATTAATGAATATCTCAAAGCGAGTAAGTCCTCCTTCGAGTTTACTCCTATCTAAAATTTCCCTTTTAATATCTTTAACTTATTTCATCTTTTAGGTTAACTTATAATCTCATTGTTTAAACTATTAGTTTCAAAGTCACTAGAAAAAGAACTCCATTAATTGTATAAAATCTTGTCACTCTAATTTTTGAGGCAAAGTGAAAGTGATAATTTAGTAATATTACTTAGATTCTACAAATCAGTTGGTTTTCATTTTTTTTTTCCTTTTTCTTTTTTTTTTTTTTTTTAAGAAAAATAAGTATTAAATACCAGTTGCTTTCATTCTTTCTCAAGATTAATATGGATAGTACATGAATCTACTCTCCCAAGAACTTCATTTCTACCTCTCACACTCTTTTTTTTTTCTCTCATCCCCAGAACTTTTGCAAAGTACTTGTAAGGGTCCAAATTTTTCATTGAACCCTTGTTTTCTGATGATCTTAAAATATCTTGGAAAAGAATGGTGTCTATAGCTATCTTTGTACATTTCTCTCATCTACGCTAATAATTTTCCAACTTGTATATATATATATATATATATATATATATATATATATATATATATATTTCCGGAAGGTAAACTCATATATTCTAAAGCTAGAACAACTACAAAAAGATCAAACCTACTCAAGATAACAAAAGTTTGGCAATAAACTTCAACTATGTTAAACTAGATTTCGGATATGCAAGTCTATTAATGCAGATGAGTGTGCACAAATTATAAGATAGAAACAATTTGACAAAAACTAGGAACAGCATATAACGTAACACAAGTATGGACAACAAACTTCAATGAACTCGCACAAACTAGATTATTGATATGCAGGTATATTAAACAGATGAGTGCTCACACATAAATTAAGTCAACTAAACAATCACAAAAACTAGTAAAAGTTGTATAAAGGTCAACCTAAACAATGTACTACTTTCTGCTGAGTAAAATGAAAAAGTGCACACAAGGACTACATTAGATACATGCATTTCATAGAGGTCTACAAGCTGATCTAAATGTCAAAGGTAGGAAACACTTGTTGTAGCCGTTTTGCAACACTACGATGAAAAATATATAAAATATTTGGAATGAGTTGCACATGTAGAGTGACTAATTCTCCAATCCATAAAAGCCTAACAAGAGTATCACAACATCTGTGGCTTCTGCTGGTGTCTAGAAAAGATTTTGACTGAACTTGAACCATTATTGAGTAAATAAGCTTAGAAAAAAGTATATGTTTGGCTTTGATTCTTACCAGGAAGAACTGCATTATCCCTTCTGTCAACAAGAGGATCCGAACTAGATGCCCCAGGACATGCTTGGGCATTTCTCCTAAGATTGGTAGGCCTAGTGCGTGAGATTCCAGCTTCACCTTGGGGTTTCCTACCAGGTCTTTTCCTTGTCTGTGAGAACTCATCTTCAATTCTTCCTGGATCTGTTTTGAGGGTATGAAAGACCCTCTTAGCCAGCTCATGTATAGCACGGGCCTGAAAGTCACAAGATTTTCATTCAATTAAAAGAGAGAACTCAAGATTCTTTTTGTATACCGAGAATTTAGAAGATAATTTTCTTAATCACTAGATCACACAAAATAGATGAACCCACCTGTCTGAAGAAGATGGTTGTGGATGAATTAAAAAGCATCGCATTGCTGGATATTAGAAATACATCCTTCTGAATAATAATTCAGACAATAATTGATTAGTTAGATATATATATAACATTCCAGAATGAATAAGGTGAAAGCTTACGAGTTTGAAATATATATACATGTTCACATTTTAAAGTTCACAAATCTACACCAACCCAGATACATACTGTACCATTAGGGCAATGCGTTGATAATAAAATTCATGGAAGGTTAACCATCTTGGCAATTCACACTATTGATAGAGGAGGGTAATATGGAACAGGAAAAAGGAAAGGAGAAAACAATTGTTCATAAGGAAGCAAACCTCAAATTGTTCCAACGTAGTATACATTCCTTCCTGAAGTTTAGCCCTCATGGTGCCGAAATCCATTGGCTCTTTAATAACATCATAGTAGCCCTCCACCTAGTAAAGCAAGAAACTCATCTTCATTAAAGATTAGAGAAGAAATTCGGAATGGAATATATAGAATCCAAAAACGAATACTGACCTCTTCTCCATCAACTGGCTGAGCAAATATTTCACGTGTATCTCTCCTATAATTTGGGCAGAATAAATAAGATACCATATGTCAACAAAAAATCTGTATAATTGAAACTATGTTTCTTCAAAATCTCAAGGTCTGCAATAAACTCTTCCTTTTTATTAAAAAGAAAAAGAAAAAAAAAAGAAAAGAAGAAAAAGAAAAAGAAAAAAGAATGTAACAAGAGCCTAATAAGTGGGCCAAAGACAGTTATTAATAAGAAAGGGTCACCTTTGCAGTATATCAAGGATAGACTCAAGTAGATCTTTCTCGGGCATCTGTTTTACAGATGGAGAAATTGCTGGATTATCATATATAAACAGCAATTAAATTAGTATTGCAGCACATAACTGGTGATCAGAATTCCAATCCAAAAAATTAATATTTTGATAAAAGTAACAGTCTCACCACCACTAGCACGACTATCCTCATGTTTTGGGTTTTCACCATCCTGCATGTAATTAAGCATGAGATCAAGAAAATGCAAATAGAAAAAATAAAATAAATAAAAAATGTACGAATAGATCATCAAAGATCATTACATAAGTGAACAAGCCAATCCTGAGCTCATTACAAGAATAATAACAGTATCTCAGGCAATGAAAGATCTTATAAGAACGATGTTCCCTATTTCCAGCAAAGCCACGCTTAAGGACATGTGATATTCAAGCTTAGAATAAATAGCATGACCAGGCTGGTTTCTGTTGCCTCACAAATTATTTCAAAAGGTTGACAAAAAATGTGCAATTTTGTTCGTGGTGAAAAAAATTTGGAGGATCTATCAAGCCTAGAATCATCACCCTCAAACCCAAAAGAGAGGGACAAAAGGTCCAATGTACCTCACAGTGAGAGCTTCACAAGTAGGAATATATAAGAGGTTGCACACAGTCAATCGACTCAATACATAGCAACATGTGATCCGATAGAAGCCCCATCCATGGAGACGATCTTATCCACTTTGGCAGCTTCAGCCAACCTTGGTGGCAGGCCTTGTTTTGGCAGAGGATGTAGGTCATCAAAGCAGATGCCCACTAGCACATTAGCCCGCCGTGAGAGCAAGTGTTACAGGAGCATGCCTTCAAAGCAGCCCTTAAAGGCACATCAAACATGACCCCTGGATACAAAGGACTTAGATTGAGTTGCAAGCAAACCATAGGGAGCTCTATAAGGTTGATGTCCATTGACAAGGGGACTCTGGCATTCCTCGTCATGCTATGGGATGGCTTAAGATTTTAGGCCTGGCAGCTAGAGTCAAAAGCAACTCAAGGCTGGTGCCATTCAGTCATGAAGCACAGCCATTCACTCAAAACCATTATAAAATGATTCGTTCATATTATCCATGCCATTTAATGGTTGCCTACATTCAAACATATAAGAATTTAGCTAATATTTACACTTCTTTCTTTCCATTATAAATAAGATGATCTTTTAGGATAGAGCTTGTAAATGTTTCTTCTGAATCAGTGCACAAGAAAGCTATTTCTAGAGCCAATTTATTGAACAAAGAGATGGCAAAGTGAAAGACTAGCAACTACTAGACAATAATCTGCCAGTGCTGCAAATAATGCTGTGATGTAGGAAGAAATTAAAAAACTAAATTAACTTAAAAATTAAAAAATAAAAATGGTTGTTCATCCAAATGGGACCAATATGCAGCTGTTGACTGACAAGAACCAGATATCGTAAACATCCATTGATATTCAAATGATTTAATTCGCAATTTTGTATATGATTGTAATATAGACTTAACCTTATGAGCTCTTTAACAATAAAAATAACAATTTTGTAAGAAATGAGTGTATCCAAACAATGTGATCATGTAATTTGACGACGTGACAGTAATACAATAATTTTTATGGAATAGCCTTAACTATATTATTTGGCCTATTTGGCTATTCACTTCATTATACTAACGAGAAATGCAACCAATACATATTCAACAGGAGAGCGTTCTGGAATAGGAGTTTGTTTCACAGAAATGGGATTTTCATTTCCTTCTTGTCTTCACAGAAACTTCAACAGAAAATCACTAGAAAGGCCTTCCGCATAATACCTTCCGCATAATATAGAATGAAGCACATTAGACATAATACTCTTGTAAGATGGAATAGGAAAGAACAATGTTAAAATAAAATAATAAGAATAATAATTTGAAGTGGGAGAGAGAAATTAAAATAATAAGAATAATAATTTGAAGTGCGAGAGAGAAATTTAATGCGCTTCACAAGTTCATGTCAATTGTCATTGTCTCCAAATCTCAACCCAGTCAAAGCACGACTTAAAGGAAACAAATTAAAATATTACCATTCAATTGGTGAAAATAGAAGTAGTAATACAAATTTGGTTCACACCCAAATCGGATTTCATAGCAAATTCCATTGTCAAACAGTTAAAATTAGAAACACAAATTGGCTTTATAGCATTTTTTAAGCAAAACATACCCAATTACTCATATATCAAAATTCATCTTTAAAACACACAAATAAGCTTCAATTTACTAACCATTTCTCATAAAGAAATCCCATTTCAATAAATAATCAAACAAATCAAACCCCACAAGATAAAAGCAGTTAATTAACTAAGCATGCAATAAGATTGATAAATTCTGTATGTCTCAGAGTAAATTATTCATCCATTTGCGTCTGCATATACATCAATACATATATAAAGCACCTGCCGAGTTGTAGGAGCAGTAGAAGAACCCGCCACCTCGTCGAGCCTCTTCTTCTTGCGGCCCTTCTTAGGCTCGGGCAGCGGCGTCCGACCGCCGTCGCCACCCGAGCCCGCCGAGAATGCAGGTCGGAGGGGCGGCGGAGGCGGTGGTGGAGGTGTTGTATTCCTCTGAGAAGCATCCTCTCCTTTTCTTACTTGGTGGTGTTCTGTCTGCGTTTTTCTCTCCTCTTTGCTGCTGGCCCTCTCAAGTGCCGAAATGCGAGCACTTTTCCTCTTTTGTCCTTCTATGTTCGACATTTTTACCATTTTTTTTTTCTTTCTCTGCACAGACAAAAATAAAATAATAATTATAAGTACAAAAATGATTTAGTGACAATATAATTGTTATATATTTGTAATTATTTTTTGGATTAAAGTCATAAAACTCTCATGTACTTTTTAAATTGTGTATAAAATTGGCAGGACAAAATTGACTTTGCCATTAATATTAAATTAAAATGCTGATAATAATTTTTAAAATTATTTTTGTAATTTTACAATAGTAAGGTTAATTTTGTAATTGAATATTAAATAATAGTTTTGTAATTTTAAACAATTTTGTAATTTAACATTATTTAATAATCTGTTATTATTTTATAATTTTAAAATGATTATTTTTACAATTTAATTTAACATTTTATAATAAAATTAATTTTGTCATTTTACAATCGAATTAACAAGCCGGTGGGACAACTGAATAAACTTTTCTAGTTTAAGGTGCTTTTTAATTCTATAAAGAGTTATATGCAGGTTACAATTTTAAAACTACAATATATATATATATATATATATATATATATATGATTTTATCCCTTAATTTTTTTAACTTTGATCAAGAGGTGTTTTGTGATATATATATATATTGGTTGGTGGTTGCCTAACAAAACAAAATTCACACCTACATGTTTGACTGGGTTTGGCCTTTTGTGTAAAGAGAGAGACAAAATGCCAGCATAGAGTATCAAAACTCCACCCTATTAAATAAGAAATTTATCTACATTAAGTGACAATTAAATATAATTATAAAAGATGATTTCTGATATATAATGATAATAATAATATATATCTGCATTTACTGGCTGGTGGTTGCCTAGCAAAACAAAATTCACACCTAAATTTTTTGACTTTGTGTGTAAAGAATTAGACAAAATGCCAGCACAGTTTCAAAACTCCAACCCCACTTGAGAAATCCATTGAGAAGTTTATTTTTGAAAAGGTTATATATATATATATATAGTGTGTGTGGGAATAGAGAGGTTAGGGTTTCAAGTTCGAGAACAAACTGGTACTACACTTGCATCAGTGAATTTCTGTTCCTACTAGGACACACATTCTCTCTTTTTTTTCCCTGTAAAAAGGGTTAATTCAGACAAATAAAAATAATGGAAAGATAATAAAAGAAAATAAACAATGGTGATGTGATTAGACCTCAAAAAAAATAAAATAATAAAATAAAAATGAGATAGATCATCTTGTAATATTTAGGGCTTCCAAAAAAAGAAGACACTGCTAATGCGATCAAACCCCAAAAATTAAAAAATAATAATAATAATAATAAAGAAGTTTACAAAATAAAAAGGAGATTGATAATCTTGAGGAGATAATAAAATAAAATAAAAATGAAATATGTGGAAAATGTTGTGGGGGTGTGGGGAGAGAGAGCTCCGAGGTCACATCAAAAGATTGAGTAGATAAATCTGATGATGTGAAGGATATAGAAGAGCTAAAATTTAATGGACAGGAATATGAATGTAACTAAAGAATTATAAAAATAAAATAAAAAATAATAGAAGTATACGTATAAAAATTGTGCATATGGGAAAAGGAAAAAAAAAAAAAAAAAAAAAAATTATAATGTACAACTCATTTACATCGAAGAAAAAATTAAATAACAACAACTTACCTTGTTCAATTATTTTTCTCTAACAATAAAGTGATGGAAGCTCCTTGAATCCTACACAATAGAGATTGGAAAAGAGCAACTCGGTTTTGAAAAAGAAAAAAAAAATACAAGTTGTTTCTTCAATTTATAGAGCCTTGTTAAGCTTGAGATATATAGACTTTACATGTTTGAGTTTTAAATAGATACATCGAAGCATCTAACAATCTATTTAGTATCAGGATAATAGTGTCAGAATAATCGCAACTTTGAACAAATAAGTTAACACTTGTAACAGTGTTTACTGACTTAAACAAGAGCACATGCACTATAACGCATTAATGATGTATTTAATACGACAAAAATGATGAGATAAACACGAATATATTTTGAATAAATTATTACTTTTGATTGGACCTAAAAAAAAAAAAATTCATGTGTTGAATAAATTATCTCTTTTTGAGAGGAACACCCCAGCACCCTCTCCCCTTCCCAAAAAAAAAAAAAAAAGAAAAAAGAAAAAAAAAAAGTTTAAAATTTAAAGTATAAAGGGTAGTAATAGTATTATAAAAAGAGATGATGTATTAATGAGTTTAATGACTCTTTTGTCATTTTCTTTAAAAAGAAAAAGATAAAGTGGAATGCAACTGTAAAAAAAAGAGTGTCGTTCCCCAAAAATATATTAAGGAATGAATTTTTAAAAAATAAAAAATAAAATGTAGTAGAATCTTTGATGAAAAACCAAGCCAATTATAGAGAAGAGCAAGAGCTAACAAAATAGTATATAAATATATTAAAGTAAACAATTATAAAAAAAGAAAAAAACAGAAAAGAAAGGAAACTAATAGGAGTACATAAGTAGTTTATACATACGTGGTTTAACAGTCAGTCTCTTATCTCCCAACGAGAGTTCAAGACTTCAGATCTTAGAAAAGACATGTGTGTGTGAGTATCAACTAAGAAAAAATAATAATAAGTAGTTTATATATAAAAATAATAATAATAAAAAAATGCATAACTTATTTGTAACAAAGGGAGAAAGAAGAGTAATTTCCCATGTTCATTTCTTTTTCTCCGCCTACAAAACAAAAAAAAACCTTTTCAAAATTTAAAAAGTGAAAAAATTTCTTAAATTTAGAAAAGAAATTTTGAATTGTATCTTCAATGTATAAAGATTTGATAAGCTTGCAAAATATCAGTGGTACATATTTAAGTTGGTTTTAAGCAGATATATCGCTAGGCGCCAAATAGTCTAGTTGACTGCAGAATAATCAAAAAATGAAACAAATGATTTAACACTGGTAACGGTAATTAACTTACTTAATAAAAAGAACACTATAATTAAAAATTGGCTAAAATGCTAAAAAAACTACTGAACTTTCACCAAAAGTGAAAAATATACCATTGAATTATCTGGAGTTGCAAATTGAACTCTCGTTTATACCAACGTTGCAAAAAGGACCATCTCAATCAGCGGACCACATTTTTCAACGCCCAAAAAGTCAAAATTTACAAAATACCCTCACTTATTAATTTATATAAAAATTATAAAATATCAGAAATATACAATACCCATAATACCCTTAAGACGCCATCTTGCAACTAACCAATAGTTCATGGAGTTTTTTTTGCAATTTTGCCTAATAATAATAAACAATATCAATAATAATATTATTAATATTAATATTAATATTAATAATAATTTTCAAAAGAAAATGCTGAAAAAGTGTTTGAGCTAAAAGCTCCATTTCCGGATGCCTTAAAAGGATTCATTTTAAAAGACAAGCAAAAGGCAAAAACTAATGAAATCATGAAAATGTTTAGGTAAGTGAAAGTCAATCTTCCACTTTTGGATGCAATCAAGCAAATTTCGGCTTATGCCAAATTCTTGAAAGACTTGTGCACCCAAAAGCGGAAGAACAAGAGCCAAGCACCAAGAAAAGTGGTTTTAACCGAGCAAGTGAGCTCAATTTTGAAACATAATACTTTACCAAAGTTTAAGGACCCTAGTTCACCTACTACTTCATGCATCATTGATGATCATATCATTAATCGGGCGCTTCTTGACTTAGGAGCAAGTGTTAACCTTCTTCCATACTCAGTTTATGTCAAATTGGGCCTAGGTGAATTGAAACCGACGTCGGTAGTTTTACAACTTACCGACCGATCCATTAAGAAGCCTAGGGGTATAATCGAGGATGTATTGATAAAGATTGACAAATTCTTCTTCCCCGTTAATTTCGTTGTCATTGACACGGAACCGGTCCCCAATCCTAAAAGCCAAATTCCCGTTATCCTTAGCCATCCTTTCTTGGCAACCACTAATGCCAACATCAATTGTAGGATGGGGATAATGAAAATCTCATTTGGCCATATGAAGGTGAAGTTGAATATCTTCAATCCCACACCTAATTCATTTGACAAATATAAAGGATAGGTTAATGTTGTAGATAAATGTTATGATCTTCAATGTAAAGGAAGTGAGCTTTTGTGTAAGACCAAAACTTCAAAGGGATCATCTTCAACCTTGCATTCTCAAAGTGTTGTTTCAAATTCTTGCTTTGAAAGGGCATGGAAGCCCAAAGATTGTGATTGCATTGACAAGGGATCAAAAGTTTCTTTTGAGCTAAATTCAACAAGTTCTTCAAAGAACCATTTGTTGGGTGGAGTTCAAAGCATCTATCACCCCAACAAGGAGGGGATGCATTACAAGATCTTTGATCCGAGCTAAAAGAGCCCAATGTCTTACTAGAGACGTTAAAGACTAGCACGACATTTCGTATAGTGTCAAAACCCTATTCCTCCCTCATTTCTATCTTTAATTTCATTTCTTGCGAAGTCTAGATACTTGTTTTTGGTTCATATGCATTGCTAGGAACTGTGGTTAAGATTGCATGCACTTTTATGTTGTGATTAAGCATTTTGCATAAGTTCGATCGATCTCAAATGAGAGTTTGATCGATCGAACTTTTATCTGCATCCAACACTTAGAAAAATTTTCGACCTGCATCCACCTGCGTCCAAATCACCTCTCTGTCCCATCGTTCGAACTTGTTCTCAGATCGA